TGTAACATCGTGTGTAACGGACACAACGACAACCCGGTGTGCGGCAGCAACGGCGTCACCTACGACACGCCGTGTCACGTCCGCGAGGCGTCCTGTCTCAAACAGCTGAAGATCGACATCAAACACGTTGGCCGTTGCCAAGGTAACGAGGATGAGCTGAAAACTAGACAATAAAGGCCAAACCACAGCAGAGGTCAGGAGGGAAAATGTTTTCTGTTCATTAATATTTATGATGACCTCAATCTGAACACACACTTGTCCTCCCGTCTCTGTGAGGTCCTCACACACACCTTCACCCCAGAACCAGGTCTAACAGAGACCTGCACCCCAGAACCAGGTCCTCACACACACCTGCACCCCAGAACCAGGTCTAACAGAGACCTGCACCCCAGAACCAGGTCTAACAGAGACCTGCACCCCAGAACCAGTTCCTCAAAGAGACCTGTACCCCAGAACCAGGTCCTCACACACACCTTCACCCCAGAACCAGGTCTAACAGAGACCTGCACCCCAGAACCAGGTCTAACAGAGACCTGCACCCCAGAACCAGGTCTAACAGAGACCTGCACCCCAGAACCAGGTCCTCACACACACCTTCACCCCAGAACCAGGTCTAACAGAGACCTGCACCCCAGAACCAGGTCTAACAGAGACCTGCACCCCAGAACCAGGTCCTCACACACACCTGCACCCCAGAACCAGGTCTAACACAGACCTGCACCCCAGAACCAGGTCCTCACAGATACCTGCACCCCAGAACCAGGTCCTCACAGAGACCTGCACCCCAGAACCAGGTCTAACAGAGACCTGTACCCCAGAACCAGGTCCTCACAGATACCTGCACCCCAGAACCAGGTCCTCACAGAGACCTGCACCCCAGAACCAGGTCTAACAGATACCTGCACCCCAGAACCAGGTCTTCACACAGAACTGCACCCCAGAACCAGGTCTAACAGAGACCTGTACCCCAGAACCAGGTCTAACAGAGACCTGTACCCCAGAACCAGGTCCTCACAGATACCTGCACCCCAGAACCAGGTCCTCACAGAGACCTGCACCCCAGAACCAGGTCTAACAGAGACCTTCACCCCAGAACCAGGTCTAACAGAGACCTGTACCCCAGAACCAGGTCCTCACAGATACCTGCACCCCAGAACCAGGTCTAACAGAGACCTGCACCCCAGAACCAGGTCTAACAGAGACCTGCACCCCAGAACCAGGTCCTCACAGAGACCTGCACCCCAGAACCAGGTCCTCACAGAGACCTGGACCCCAGAACCAGGTCTGAAAACCTGAACGTTCCCGTGATCCAGGTCTTCTCCATTCTGATTATTCAGGATTGACACACTTGACAAACCTGCTGGTCTAGAAACATCCTCCTCCTTCCGACCATCCATTAACCTTCTCACCTGTTTCCTGCTGACCTTCATCTTCTCCAGTCCTGTTTTATTCCTACTAATCCAACGGTGTTGGAGGAAGATTGGGGATTAGATCAGATTAAAACACTCTAAGATGGACATTATTCCTGTAAACAGTTTTTGAGGTTCCTCCTTCCTCGTGAGTTTTCTTAGTTTGGACAAACATCAGCTCACACCATCGGGAGAGCGTTCCTGCAGCTCCTCCGTCTCAACGGGTTCGCTGTGAGCCGTTTGTCCCGGAGGAGGAGAAGTCTGAGGAGGTGTGGGATCAGTGGAGCTCCTGGTTGATCATCAGACCTTCAGGAATGTCGGTTCTGCACTCGTTTATTTAAGATTCAGAAACTTCAGCTGCAAGCCTGAAGGTCACAGAGGTCATCAGAGGATCCAGGCGGACCTTCACACTTTAAGGTTTATTTCATTAAATGTTTGTTTGTTTCAGATAAAAACAGGAAGGACGATGGGTCCAAGTCCAAACCAGACATCTACGGTGAGGCGCCGTCCTCTCACGGGATCTGTACGGCATGTTCACCACGACAGCCAATCACAAATCAGGATTTGCTTCTTCTCTTTTGTCTTCCAGCCGTGTCCAAGGCCGTCAACGAGGACGGGTTTGTGGAGAACCCGGTTCCGTGTCCCAATGACTACGCCCAGTTCTGTGAACATGGACAGTGTGAGATGATACGCAGCCTGCCCACCTGCAGGTAAAACACCTGAGGCCTGCTTTAGTCTGAAATCTTCGTGGTTTCACTTTAAATTAGTTCCATTTAACATCCGATTTTATGAAATACTCAAAAAGATGTTTGATGTTTTTGTTTACGACGTTCTGCTGATTAAAATCCACCAAACTCAGGAGGTCAAAGTTCAACTGTAGTGCATGAAGGTGTAAGGGTTAGGGTTTTATGTGCAGAACTGATGAGATTAAAGGCTGAATATGGAACAAGTTAATAAAGCTTTATTTTAGTAAATAATAAAACCTACACCAGCTGTGCAGAATCAAGTATTTCCTTTTAAAACTTTACTTTAATTGAAGTACAAATATTTGTTTTGACAGGACAACACTGGGTTTATGTTTACATCTACCGGCCACTAGGGGGCATCGTTGCATTGAAAAGTCCGCTCAGCACAGCGAGGCTGGCACTGGGAAAAGTGGCGGACTCTGCAAGTCGAGCTGCTTCTGAGCCCAGAAGATATTCTAACGTTTAATCGTGTTGTAAAATAAACTCATCAGTAGAAGTGAGTCCTACGTCGTCACCGGACACGCTGCTCCTGCTCACCTCACGGATCAGCAGCAAACCCAACGGCGGGAAGCCTCGTCCTGCTGTTGCAATGACACACACTAGATGTCGCGTTGGTGTTCGTGTTCCATATTCAACCTTTAATGTTTACAGAAGCAGATCACTCACCAGCAGGTCCTGTGGTTTCCATGGAGATGGCTAATGAAAAGATGTTATGACATTTCCTTTGATCAATGTGCGTGTGTGTGTCCATGTGTGTGTGTGTATGTGTGTGCATGTGCGTGCGTGTGTGTCCGTGCGTGTGTGTGCGTGTGTGTCTGTGCGTGCGTCTGTGTGTCCATGCATGTGTGTGTGTCCGTGCGTGCGTGTGCATGTGCGTGCGTGTGTGTGTCCGTGCGTGTGTGTGTGTGTCCGTGCGTGTGTGTGCATGTGCGTGCGTGCGTGTGTGTGTGTGTGTGTGTGTGTGTGTGTCTGTGCGTGCATGCGTGCGTGTGTGTGTGTGTGTCCCCGTGCGTGCGTGTGTGTGTGTGTGTGTGTGCATGTCTGTGCGTCCGTGCGTGTGTGTGTGTGTGTCCCCGTGCGTGTGTGTGTTCCAGGTGTGAGGCGGCGTACGGCGGGCCTCAGTGCGACCAGCTGCTGGACTTTAACATCCTCTACGTTGTTCCCAGCGGTCAGAAGCTTCACTACGTCCTCATCGCCGCCATCATTGGAGCTGTTCAGATCGCCGTCATCGTTGCCGTGGTGATGTGCTTCACCAGGTACTCAGACCTGTATGATGTCATTACCAGAACATCCCAGGTTTAAAGTACAGCTTGTACCAGCAGCAGAGTGTAAGCAGAGTTTAGATGTAATGACACGTACAGCCAGCAGAGGGCAATCACACACCGGAGGTTTAGCACGAGCCTAATTTCTATGAACAATTGTGTTAAAAGAAATTCCAATATTCTTTTAGTAACTTTAAAAAAGTCAATTTTACCTGATCAGGTGCATCAGGATCAAGGATTAAATAACACACACATCACATCACTGAGGGGTGGGACCTCACCCCACAGGTCTGAGACCAGCACACATGATGCTGCCTGTGGTGTCTCCATGTTGATGACGTGGACTTCCTGTTGTGTCCTGCAGGAGATGCAACAAGTCGAAGCGCGGCCGCAGACAGAAGCAGCACCTGGGCCACTTCCCGTCAGGAACGTCCTCCAGGATGATGTAGCCGCCCTCCTTTTCCCTCATCTTTTTATAACCGTCCAGTTTTCGTACCACAGACAAACTGCAATTTTATATCGAATTTTTGGTGCCTCTGTTTTATTTTTCCCCTTTTTTATAAGAAAATAATTTGTTTTTTTTAAGGGGCCTTATTTTTTATGTTATATGTTCTTTTGTGCAGCTGCTGCCGTCCTCAGACTCTGATCACTGTGGATCCGACAGGAAGCAGAATCTTTATTTATCTGATTGTACTACAGCTGGGACCACACACACACACACACACACACACACACACACACACACACACACACACAACCACACACACACACACACACACAACCACACACACACACACACACACACTCTCTTTGTTTTTTCTCCACAGTCCTGTTTTAAAGTTTATGGATTTCAAAAAGAAGATAAAACACAAATTTGATGAACTTATACTCTACACATTATGGTACCGAAGGAATTAAGAGGTTAAAATGACCTCTAGTTTGAATTATTTTACATTCTCAAATTATGGCAAAGAATTATTTTAAAGACCAATTTTGTGTTTAGGAACTTTGATTTTTCCAACTTTAACTGGTTTTATCGTCACTTTGGAATTCAGCCTGTAAACATTCTGATGTGTTTCTGCCTGAAGACAGATTTTGGTCAAAATTATCAGGTGTGAGTTTTACATTCCAGCTGTGGTCCCTGAACGCACCACCTTGTTACTCTACAGCTGTGTGGTCCGATCCCTGAATGCACCACCTTGTTGCTTTACAGCTGTGTGGACCCTGAACGCACCATCTTGTTGCTTTACAGCTGTGTGGTCCCTGAACACACCATCTTGTTGCTCTACAGCTGTGTGGTCCCTGAACACACCATATTGGTGCTCTACAGCTGTGTGGTCCCTGAATGCACCATCTTGTTGCTTTACAGCTGTGTGGTCCGATCCCTGGACGCACCATCTTGTTGCTCTACAGCTGTGTGGTCCCTGAACGCACCACCTTGTTGCTTTACAACTGTGTGGACCCTGAACACACCACCTTGTTGCTTTACAGCTGTGTGGTCCCTGAATGCACCACCTTGTTGCTTTACAGCTGTGTGGTCTCTGAACACACCATCTTGTTGCTCTACAGCTGTGTGGTCCCTGAACACACCACCTTGTTGCTTTACAACTGTGTGGACCCTGAACACACCACCTTGTTGCTTTACAGCTGTGTGGTCCCTGAATGCACCACCTTGTTGCTTTACAGCTGTGTGGTCCCTGAACACACCATCTTGTTGCTTTACAGCTGTGTGGTCCCTGAACACACCATCTTGTTGCTCTACAGCTGTGTGGTCCCTGAACACACCATCTTGTTGCTCTACAGCTGTGTGGTCCCTGAACACACCATCTCCTTGTTAAACTTGAAACAAACTGAACTATTGAGTGAATAATAGAAACATGAATTTTGTCCAAGTTTGAATGAATGAATGAATCATTTTGTTAAAAAGTTCACGTTAGATGATTTAATGTCTGATTCTGATATTTTAAGAGATTTTAAAACTTTTTTTTTTGTATTTTTTATAAATATTTGAAAATTTCCTGAATAATTTAAAACAAAAACTTGGATTTTTTTCTGCAATTTTAACTTTTTTAATTAGTTTGAAACCAAACAGAATTCCCATGAATCTTTGCTGCTCTCATTTGGCCCAACCTTTCCTTTTGTCACAAACTTGTTGTACCACCTTAAACTTCCAGGGGGCGCTCTGCAGGGTTTAAATACTCACAGGATCAGGATTACTTCTATATTAGCTATGATGAGATGCACCTGAGAACCAAAATGCTGTTTTTTCTACGTAAACGAGGAACCAGCTGACATGTACAGGTTGTTGCTAAATGACTTTTATCACTTCCTGTCCAGACAACACCAGTCAGGAAACGGATGCTTGTGTGTTTGGACAGGTGAGGATAATTTAAATGTTTTTATTCTGATTTCTATCGATGGTTCCAAGTGTTTGTGTTGTACCGTGGTAGAGGCTGTAGATCCGTAAGCTGGGGGAAGGGTCCTGCTCCCGTCGCTGCTCTGAGATCAGACTCCTGCGCTTATGTGAGGCCAGCGGCGTCTGCGGGATCCAGCCTGATTTTACTCTAGATGTTCGTCCTGCATGAACAGTGAGATGTTTAGATTGTGTTTGTAGCTGAACTACAATTAAATTATGATGTTTGAAACATTTTGTCTGTTGCTTTTTATGATCTGGATCCTGCAGCTGCGGGTCAGGGGGACAGGCAGGAGAATGGCTACCATGTTCAGCAGCATTAAAGCATAAATACCTCCATTGGTCCTGAAGATGTCTTTAGGTCAGGGGTCACCAACGCAGTGGCCCCAAGAACTTAACAAGGCCCTTCTCTAAATAACACAAAAAATGTGCTGCCAACTTTTGATCACAAATGCATTAATAATGATTTAAAAAACAACAAATATAGTTTATTATACCTGGAGTTGAGTTCCTCTGATCTATTCAAGTTCAAAGGTCAGTAATGCATCAGCCCAGTAGCCCTTGCATGGCTCTCAGCTTCATAAAGGCTGGTGACCTGTGCTTTAGACGTTGCTGAAACTTTTAATTAACGGTTTTTTAAAATGTCGATCTGAGTTTTGGAAAAACCTTCTAGCAGCTAACGAAGTCGCCCACATGCAGGAGGGGTCAAACGTGGCGTTGACGGCGGGATAATTATAGACAGCAGCTGGTGGGGAGTTTTTAGAGAGGGGAGTCCCCGCATGTCCGTCTAAGTCCAACCCTGTCCTCATGTCCACAGACCTCCTGAAGTTGACTTTCTAAGCTCAGCTGACGTTTATGTGTTTGTGGTGAAAGAAAAAAGTCAACCAATGAAAAAACAACTGTTTCTGTCTCCAACGTCACCTTTAAGCCCCGCCCCTTTGTGGAAATGTGATTTCTACCTGGTAGTTCTCAGCTGGCTGCTTGGATAGTGTGAGTGGGCGGGGCTTCCGGAGGGCTTTTCAATAACAGAAGTAAACTCCTCCTCCTGCAGACTCTCATGACCACCTGGTGGTTCATCCAGCACACTGACAGCATGTTTCACCTCAGACCACCAGAGTTTGCTGAAACGTCCAACATGAGTGGCTTGTGGGTAATGTGGGCACTACAACCTTCTCAGGTCAGAAAGGACTAAACAAGCATCTCTCGATCTCTAAAAATTATAACTTCCTGTTTATTGGTTAAAGTCACTTCCTGTTTATCGGGTACAGTCACTTCCTGTTTATCAGGTAAAGTCACTTCCTGTTTATCGGGTGCAGTCACTTCCTGTTTATTGTGTACAGTCCTTCCTGTTTACCGGGCAGTCACTTCCTGTTAATCGGTTAAAGTCACTTCCTGTTAATCGGTTAAAGTCACTTCCTGTTAGGTCTTTTCTGACACGTTTCGTTTACTTCATCAGCTGCTATTTTCTTTGCTTGTTGGTTAAATTGAATATTTCTCATTCTGTTATTTTCTTTCTTTATTTATTTATTTATTTATTTTCAATATCATTACAAGGAACAAAGCGAGTTAGAATACAAATTGACAGAAGTACAAAGTCCTTGGATAACATAGTTATGTAATTAATACAAGTCAATAATACAAAATAAGACAATTCTAACAAACAAAACTGAAAGAAGAAAAAGAAAAAAGGACAAAAAAGAAGAAGAGGGGTATCTAAAAGATTCCCTTTGAAATAAAGGCATCAACATAACTTAGAGTCTAACAGCTTTCGGACGAGTCATACCTTGTAAAGTAGAAAATAGATTCTTAACTCAGTCTTCGTCATGTTCTTTGGATTTTTGTTCACCCTCCTTTAATTAAAGGAATTTATTTTCTTAAATCCACTCCTGCCTCGAGTCATTCTGGGCTTCTGCGTTTTGGGTCCCACCTCCTCCTGCTCAGCGTGACAGTCTTAAAGATATTTATACTGGGCTCGTGTCGAACCACTTAGATTTATGAATATGAAATTTCCCAAATAAAATGATCAGATCAAGAATGACGAATGTGATTTAACATCTTTTCTATTTGTAAAGAAGATTGTGTCTCTTAAATGTAATTTAATATTTTTATCAAGACATCATGAAAGTAAGCACCAAAAATATTGATGTAAGTATGGATAGTTTAAGCTGTTCTTTGTTGTTTTAGTTCATTATTTCTGGGAAAAGTTAATTTGCAAAAATAGATGTGAAATGAAATTTCTAATCTGTTTCTAAGGCTGATTCAACTACTTCAGTGAAATAAGTTAACAGATAATGACATAATTAATGGTGTGTGAAGAATATATAGAATATGCAAGTTAATAAGTGCAGCTCGTGTTCGTCTTAAAGGAGCAATTGATCTGGCTTTAATGGATGTGTGTACTTGTTAACGTAGAAGTTAAAAGAAAGCATAAAGCTGATTGTAATTTGTATATTTCAGGTTCACCTTCCTTGCTACGTCAATAAACCTGTGAACAAGGACTCATCCGTCTTCAGAGTCTTGATGTCAAGGAGGCGTTTAACTGTCAGGTCGTCTAGAGCACATGTGATGAGGACAGCAGTGTCCTATTCCAGATTGAGGACAAGAACGGACGATTTTAAGTATAATTCCTGATAACATTGCTGAACAGTGAGAGACATTTTGAGGATCTTGAAGTATTACAGAATTGACTTTTAATTCGTGTAAACTATTGTTTGTTTGATTTCTTTTCTCCAAATTATGAAAATACTTGAGAGTTCTTCTCTCCATGCTCCAACCAAGTACGCCGAGATCGAACAAAAGCACCCTTAGCTCAGGTCTGATGAATGTTATCCAACTCCGATTGTAATTCTGTTCATTTATTACCGTCAGCCTGAGAAGGAACGTTGTTTTCAACAGTTTTTATTATGTCTTTTAGAATTTTGTCTTGTTTTTCTCCTTTTTGTTTGGCTAATTCCTTCTTACCTCTTGATTGCAGCACTTCGAATTTGAAGTTTTGTGTACTCCCAATGCTTACCCGAGTTATTTTCTTTTAAAGCTATATTCCAATTACATCTGATCATTTCTATAATATTGTTCAGAATAGCATCATCCAGAAGCAAAGTGTTGAGCTTCCAATAATTCGGACTATATTTCATCGAATCAATAATCAATAATCATGTGTAAGTTTAGAGAGAGTTATGATCTGAGAGAATTATGGTTTAATATCCACACTAACCACTTCATCTGTTAGCTCGTTTGATACGAGCCAAAAATCTATCCTTGAACTCTGACAAATCCTTGTTGTTCCACGTGGAATATGTTTTATTAGGATTCTCCATATATCAACAGTTTAGCTGTGAGCATAAACGATGTGACACGTTACGTAAATCTGATTTTCTTTGTGGACAACATTCCAAATTGGGGTCATAAATGCAATTCCAATCTCCTAATATAAATTTTTCATTTGGAAAAGTGTTTAGTACAGACCAAACCTGTTTATGAACTCCTGAAAAAAAATCGTATTCATCTGATTATTGTTATGACCACATATGTTACCTATAACAAAAATAACATCAATACCACTAGAATAACCCATCGTCCACCATAACGCACGCTAGTCTTCAGCATCTTTCCCTGAAACGAACCTTTCCGTATGGCTGTTCCAGCTTGTTTGCATAAGACATGCAGACTATCTCCCCATTGAGCTTTCCATAAGTCGTAGTCCGAAGCTACAGCATGTGTTTGTTGTAAGAAATAAAAGTTCGCTCTGAGATCTTTACAAAATAAAAAACTGCTTTTCTCTTTAACTGATCCTGAATACTCCTAACATTCAGTCAATAAAACGATAAGGACAATAAGAACAACAGGAAAAAAGAAATAAGTTTGATGGATGTGTGAAAGGATTTCCATCCCATAATATCAGCACTTGAACAAACCCGACTAAATAAAAGGATTTTCTATCAGAACAGTATTTACCTTCAGTACTTTAATACTGGAACAAAACAAAGTTCTTGTGATTTACCAGAGTTTGTGTGAGCCTTCAAAAGGATTATTATTATTATTATTAGACCACTTTGATTCCTTTGTCATTAATGAAGGCTTTGGTGCCAGTGACGTAGGCCGGCCAGTTCGGTTTGTGGCCACAGCTTGTTCCGTAGCTCCTTATCCGTGGAAGTTCCTCCAAACTTCAGAGCTGCTTTCTCCTCCCACTTTAGGCTCCACCCCTTTAGACTGGACTTCCTGTTTCTAACTGACATGGCACCCATGGCTACTGTTAGCACACAGGAGGCTTTGTGGAACTTTAACCTTTCATTTGTGGGCCTGAGGGATCAGAGGGGTCTAAACCTGGAGGAGGGATTAGAACAAGTGGGAAGGTGACGGATGGATGGGGGGGTGGCGCAGGGGTCGGGTTACCCCCACGCTGCTGTATTTTTAGCAGCAGACACTCTGGACTCTGTGACTTTGTCTAAAACATTCCTGTAAACATCAATTCTTTTATTTTTGGGTCAAAAATACTCAGAATTCCCAGAAGAATTCCTGGAGCCAAGAAGAGTTCAGATTAAAATCTCCGCTCTTGGTGAGACGATGATCATTGGTAACGATCATCCATCCTCTCTGGGGGGTTTGGACTCACCATGGCTCCCTCCCTTCTCCTCCCTCCTCAGTCCAGCTGGGTGGTGGGCGGAGTCTATCACTTGATCTGAACAGCTTCAGGGTCAGCCTCCAGTTGGGGAGAGGTGATCTGGTCCTCCTGCTTTCTCTCCTCCTTCGGATTCATTCAACGGCTCTTCCCTCTTTCTGCACCTCCTCCAAACCCCAGGAATTCTCAGCCGGATCTCTCCTCTGGACTCTTCTTCACTTCTTTTGGATATCTGACAGAAACCACCTCCTGACCGGGACAGAACCCAGGCCAACCAGCAGGTATGACAGACAAACCGGGCATGCCAGCAGGAGGTGGAGATGATGGCATCATGGCCTTGCTGGAGCGTGTGGCGGGCCTCATGGACAGCGTCCAGGCCACCCAGCAGCGCATGGAGGAGCGTCAGCTGGAGCTGGAGAACACAGTGAAGACCATCCAGGCTGACGTGGTCAAGCTCACCAACGACCACGCCAACACCAGCTCCACCGTGGACCGGCTGCTGGAGAAGACCCGCAAGGTCAGCCGCCACATCAAGGATGTCAGGGTCCGGGTGGAGAACCAGAACCTCCGGGTGAAGAAGGTGGAGGCCACACAGGGAGACCTGCTGGCCAAGAACAAGTTCAGGGTGGTCATCTACCAGGTGAGCCTCTCAGCATGAAGGTCTGAGAACTTTTATTGATCTTTGCACTAGAAGACATGAAACACCAGAGCAGATGTGCGTCTAGAGGCGGATCTTCTGCATGAAACGGTGAAGGTTCATGTAGTCACGGCCTTCCGGAAGGAGAACCGGAGACTTCCATCCATCCTGGTTCATATGAAAAACGTTAATGACCCAAATGCATCAGAGCATGTGGTTCTGGTTCTCTCAGAAAAGTCCAGAACCTTGACCCGAACCTGCAGGAGACCAGCTGGACCATTAGAATGGACCTGGGTCTAAAACAGGCTTCAGGTCCCAGTCAGCAACAGAACAGCTGATCTCACAAGATTCTGATGGACTCGTGTTCGTGTTCTACTGCTGAAGGCTCTAGAAGAACCTTCCAGTGGACTCCTCAGAACATCCGACCCGGTTCGGACCGGATCCTCAGAGTCCGAGTTCTGTAACCTGAATGAAAATCGACAGTCGACTGTGAGGGTCGAAATAGCAGCAGCTGCACACTCACACACTCACACACTCACACACTCACACACTCACACACACACACACACACACACACACATGTGCACACTCACACGCATGCACACACACACACACACTCACACACTCACACACACACTCACACACACACACACACACACACACATGTGCACACTCACACGCATACACACACACACACACACACACACACACACACACACACACACACATGTGCACACTCACACGCATGCACACTCACACACTCACACACACACACACATGTGCACACTCACACGCATGCACACACACACACACACACACACACACACACACACACACACACACACACACACACACACACACACACACACACATGTGCACACTCACACGCATGCACACACACACACACACTCACGCGCACACACTCACGCATGTGCACACTCACACGCGCACACACACACACACACACGCTCACTCACACACACACTCACACACACACACACACACACGCTCACACACACACACACACACACACACACACACACACACACACACACACTCACACACACACTCACACACACACACACACACACGCTCACACACACACACACACACACACACACACACACACACGCTCACACACACACTCACACACACACTCACACACGCTCACTCACACACACACACACACACACACACACACACACACTCACGCGGCTTCATCTTACTGCTTTGGCCTTCACCGCCAGCAGCTGCCAGCAGGACTCTGACTCGGTTATTTTAGCTCCGTTTGAACGTCGTCAGCACGCTGACGGTCTCGGCAGCTCAGTCAGGATCTTCTATTAGAGATAATTGTTTAATCTCTGCGCTGCTCCACCCTCATTTCCTTTAAACCGCTGCATAATCCTGCTACTGCAGCTTTTTCTGAAGCTGAAGACTTTAATCTGTAATAAATAAGAGAAACTCCACAGACGAAAGCAGCAGGTTAGCATGTAGCTCCCTAGCCTGACTCAGCAGTGGCGTGTCCAGATCTTTTAAAATGGGGTGGCCCAGGTGAGGCACAACTTTGTGCATGGGTGGCACCGATGGTTATGCTTTTTTTGTTTTACCCCCAAGCCTTTTGTGGACGATGAAAAGCCGATTTGAAGGTAAATTAGTGTGTTGGCACCTGGGGTGGCCAATCAGATTCCAAGGGTGGCATGTGCTACCCCAGGCCACTCCCTGGACACGCCCCTGTGACTCAGATATAATCAGGATGCTAATCAGAGCGTAGCCGTTAGCGGGCGGATGCTAGGTGGTGTTTGCCTCCAGTAGCATCAGCAAGGGCGGAGCTTTGATGAAATGATGCAGGGAGTGGATGGATAAGGAGAAACCAGAGGAGGAGCACTGGTTTCATCTTCATCAATAATGAATAATATGACTTCCTCCCAGTGGTTCCAGTCCACCAGTAGGGTTGGCATCACTCAGCCTCTGGATCCAACGTTCTACCATTTAGATCCAGAGAACAGGGACCTTCTGTAGCTTCCCCGGTTGTGTTGTCCCATAAACGTTTCTCCTCAGGTGAGCATGGTCTACCGGAGGAGTACTCACAGGTAGATGGTACACTGAGGAGAGTAGACCCGATTCCCGTTAGCAGCTTGATGAGGACCCGCCCTCGTGTGACATCATCACTGTGATGTGTGTGAAAGCAGGTTCTGCTGTAGGGGACTGAGCTGAGCTCAGAGTTATTCTGGGTCTGAACCTTCATCTCCTAATATAGCTGCTCTAGTGTTAGCGTAGCCGCTAGCCGCTCTGGCTCAGAGAGCGGACCCACGCCACGCTGGCTGCTTTAGGACAGGGCTGACCCAGAAGACCCAAACAGGAAGTGTTTTAGGCTGCAGGTGTGCTGGTCAGCTCCCAGTATTGTTTAATCCCGCTTCAGGACGTTTGCAGCTCCTTCCAGAACCTTCCAGTGAAACCTGACCTCAGACATCGGCACGCCGCCGCTCTGATAAGTTTAGCTTCCTGCAGTCCGGCGCTGAGCTTCAGAAACAGGTGCTGCAGTTTATTTATGGAGGCCGGATCAAGACCGTTCAGGTCACATGACTCCATTTTACCAGACCGGACTAAACCTGACATCATAGCTGGACTCATGCTTTCATACAGCTTAGCCTTGTGCTGGGATTAAAGTCAACAGTGGAATTATCATCCCAGATTAAAGTGGAACGTTTTAGTAAACCCGGTGGTAGACCTATCCCTGCTGTGGGCACGTCTAACTCTGGGATCCATTAGGAGGCCTGGCTCAGGTGGTGCAACAGGTGCGTCACCTGAAGGATTCCAGAAGTTTCCCAGCAGATCAGCGTGCCTCCATGCATGACGTGATCATCAAAGATGTTCACACCTGTTCTTCGCTCTCCTCAGGGTGACCAGGAGGTTAAAGCTGTCTCACCAGGATGTGAACCAGGAGAGTCCGGCGCCGGCGCTGCAGCCAGAGCCGAGGTGGAACCGGACAAGTTCGAGCTGCCTCCTGAGTCAGACGAGGAGTACATGGTGGTGGAGGAGGCGGACTCCTCATCAGTCGGTCGTATGAAGAAGACCGGGCTGACGCGCATCGAGAGCTTCAAAGCCACCTTCTCCAAGGAGAACATGACCAAGACCCGTGAGAACCTGGGCACCAAGGTCAACAAGCTGGGCGAGAGAATCGTGACGGCTGAGAGGCGCGAGAAGATCCGTCAGTCGGGCGAGAAGCTGAAGGAGACATTCACCAAGACCGTCCCAGCAAAGCTGAACCTGAAGAAGGAGAGGACTGTGGCAGAAGGTCAGGAAGGAGCCGAGGGAGCTGCAGAGGCCGCCGTTCCCGTCCCCCCTCCGAAAGGTCGGAAGGGCAGCCCACATGCTGCCGGGGTCGCCGATGACGAGGGCAAGGCGGCCGGGTCGGAGGTTCCGGTGTACGACATGAAACAGCTGTCATAAAGATGTTTGACCTGGACTAGAGAGAAGAACCACGTTCATGAAGATGTGTAGAACTTTACAGAAGGAAGTGAACTTTAAGCGGGCCGCTCCGAAAACTCTGAACCGGAGAGAAAAGTTTGTTTGTTCAGAACTTTTCTACCAAACCAGCAGCAGAAAGTTTTCTTTGTGTTCATTAAAGTTGGACAGAACCGTTTCAGAACTTCTCCACGGGTTCCTGGTGCCACCCTGCTGCTGCTGCTGCTGATGATCAGGTGTTTGCATGTTGATGAAGGTGAAGTTTTTGATGATGAAGATGAGGCAGGTGTAACGTACGTCTGGTTCAGAAAAATGGACCTTTAGTTTGGAAAAACCGGAGCTTTTGTTCCAGTCTGGAGCTGATCCTGGTCCTGGTCCTGATCCTGGTCCTGATCCTGGTCCTGATCCAACCAGGGCAGCTGCAGAGGACATCATCTGGAGTTCTGGATCAGGCCTCAGAGTTCAGTTTGTGTTCTCTACACCGTCAGCTGAGTAAAACCTAAAGGTGTCTACGAAGACTTCAGAGCTCCATCACGGACGCCCCGTGTGAGACGGAGTCATTAGTACTTCAGTAATCTGTCTTTTAGATTAGAAATCTGTCAGATTATTATAATTATAGAATACACAACAGAAATAAAAAGGCCCTGCAGTACTTGGGTCGTCCAGCAGAGGGCATCAGGAACGTACGGATTATGCTGCAGAGGTAGAGCTCCTACCGGGGCTCTTTGGGATTAGGAGATTAGAAACATCTGCGCTAAAATACAGGCAGATATTTCTGGATTAAAATTAACATGTTTGGATTATTAAGATTTACCAGTAAAAGTAAAATACTTCAGGATCAAATACTATTACTATTATTAATTATTACTGATGAATGAAAATGACATGAGTGCCCCCCCCCCCCCCACACACACACACACACACACACATACCCCAGATGGGTACGACGACTCTGGGTTAAAGCGCAGAAACATCTGGGTTTACCTGCGATAAAGACGACCGCATCCTGATGAAGATGAAGGTCTGAGTGGTTGTCGGGGCGATGAGCGTTCCTCCTGATGGTTCGGACATAAAACACGTGTAACTCTGATGTTCGTCTGATTTCTACTGTAATCTGGGATGTGTTCGCTTAGAGTGGCTGCATGGCTGTCAGAAATAAAAACACTGAAGCTGTTTGTGTTGAGAAAATAAAAGTCTACTTGAATCACATCTGGAATCAGTAATGTTCAGTTCCTTCATGCAGCTCCAGTCATCTAAAACCACTGAAACCAGAGACCGGCACCAGAGCTGCATCACAGCTGCAAAGAAAAGGAAACTAATCTGTAATCCCACTTCCTGAAAAACAAGTGTTGGGCAAAAGCAGGAAGAGACCTCCACCAGAACCAGGACGGACTGGGTCTGAGGACTAGGAGACAGAGACAAACCCAGAAGAACAGGACCAGCAGCAATGGTGAATAAAAACATGGAGAGAAACCAGAAACGTTAGGAGGCATGCTGTTTGTCCTCCAGAGTCTGCAGCAGCATAACTAAAGGGATGAGTCAGGATATTAGAACAAATAAATAATTATTATGGTTCAGCTGTGATGCTGCCGGCTGACTGTAATAATGTGGATTATATTCATTCAGCTTTATAATGTGATCATGTTTCTGTTTCCTCGTTTCCTGTAGAAACCATGATTCTGAACCTCCTCGCTGAAACATCTTTAACGCCTGTTTCTGGATGTCAACCCATCCTTCTGACTCAGGAGATTATGGGATGTACGTTCCTCCTGCTGCCAGACAGATGATTCACGTTCAACACAAACCTTTATTTATAAAATATATAGACAATGATTTTATAGCCTCCTTTAGCTCCCTCCATGTTCGCTCTGGTTGTAGCTCCTTGCTTCCCCTCCAGGCTCCGCCATGATGCCAACAAAAGAGCAGACCTCTGTAACTTCTTCTTGTGCTTTTTACTGACGATCAGGAAACTGAAACAGGTAACCGCTAGCATAACAACTAGCGGTCATAAACAGGTCCCCCTAGGACACCCACCTGCTCCACGAAGCTGTTCAGTGCAGTGTTTGGCCAGCAGAGGGCAGCAGAGTGGTGTTTAGTGTTGCTTTGAATTAGATATTGTGATCAAACATTTACTCAGTAGGATTTTAACCAAATTGTTCTTATTCAGTGTGAAATCAAAATGCATGAATGTGTTTCCAGTTATAAACAAAATAGGCACATTTTTCATTCAGTGACTATCAATGTCTCTGTGTGTTTACTAGGTGCAGATATTTGTTGGTCTTTGAACTGACGACTAATAGTTTTACATCTGACATGTTTGATGTTTGATTAGCAATGATCTACTGTGAATTTAATTCCGCCTCGTTGCCGCCAGAGGGCGTATGATCTGATGTTTGTACTGCTGTAGCTAGCTAGCTAGCTTCTGTTGCTGGTTGATTTAATCTTGTTGAACACAGAAAATTAACACAGATTTATAGAGTTTTAGTAATTAAGTGTGAAAACGCTCTGGCTCTCATTGTTTAGACTAAATACGCTGTTAACAGCGCTAATTTAAAACCTCCTTTGATTTTTACGTTTTATTTTCAAGGAACGTACAGGAAGTGCTGTTGAGTAATGTATTGTTTAGCTTTATAAACGCTGCCTGCAGTACCTATTTTAGTCCGCCAGATGGCGGAAAAACGCTTCATCTCAAAAGTCAGACATTAAAATCAGAGTTATGGTGTTTCTGACCAGTTTGACCGGTAAACGTTCGCGTCCTGCTGCTCCTGATGGGCAGACCCCTCTACACACAGCCGGTGTTTCATGAATATCATTTCAATTGTGTTTTTAGCTAAATGAAAAGAGAAAAGACTGAGAGTGAGACCCTGTTGCTAACCCCAAACACTGTTACGTTTTATTTTGAAAAAATGTACAGGAAGTGTTTCTACTAACCATTGTAATTTTATAAGTGCAGTTCCCTATTCGTCTCCTCCTCCCTCGTTATCTTTATTAATATTCACAATAGGGCAATAAAAACCTTAGGCTAATTTTCCAGCTTCACGAAGATAACGAGGATAAAATGTTGTCATGGTAACATAGAGTAGTTCAAGTTGTTCGCCACTGGAGGTCAATTTCCTCTCAAACCTGTATGACCTGTAGCTGGGGGGTGTGGACAGGAAGAAACAAATCATTTATAAAGCGACTCTCTAGATAAAAATCATGAGATGCTTTACAAAAACTAAAAAATTTAAAATATAAAAATAATTCAAGGAATTTTATATTATATTGTAAAGGCTTTTTGCAAATCCTGAAGCATAAAACAACCATTAGTTTTATTTTTTCCATTAATGCGAACAGAAGAAAAAACATTCGTTTGTCAGAGCTGTTATTCTTGTTTAAACCGGAAGTATTTGTTTAGGTTTTAACCTTAACTTTAAAAGCCAATCATGTAGTTTTCGTGTTTGTCCACTAGGAGGCATAAAAACCTCCAACTCTGTAAGCTGACGCGTTTTCTGAGGTTTTCTGTTTAAACTTCACTAAAGAAGCTAATCAGATATGCTAACACGTAGCCTGTTTTAATATTTCTACACAATGTTTTTACAAAATTATATCCAGGAACAGCAGCAACGTTTAAAGAAAGTGCTGCTGTTTATAGCAATAATTGATATTTTAACTAAAGGGCTAACATGCTAATGCTAAAACTGAGTTAAGTAGTACCTTTTCCTGCCACAGGAGGGCGACATGCACCTCTGAACTCAGCAGCTTCTGTAAATATCTTCTTATATATTTTGAAGTTAACTGATCAGCTGGAGGGAAAAAGTTTCATTTCTGAAATATTTTACAAAAATAAAATGGCCTATTCCTGCTCTCCACCTGGACTGGAATGAGCTGCAGAAACCACTGAAGCTCACTACCGACATTCTATTACCTACCTTCAATAATTCATGGTGAGCATTAGTTTCTGATCAGCGTGCCTGCTTCTGAGTCTTAAAGACAGTTTAAGTCTGTTCTGATTGCTCGTACGTGTTATATAAGAGAACAGTCTTTATGTTTGTTTTCTCTCTCCTCTCTTTGGTGTAAAGCTAACTGCTGCCTCAGATCGTCGCTGTAAATGAGAACAATTTTTGAGTCGACTCATCTGGTTAAATGAACGTTTAAAGAGAAATAAAACAAATCTGCGTTTGGATGTTCAAAACCTGCAACTGGTTCTCATCAGCAGACCACACAGGTGTCCTGTCAGCTACAGGTGTACAGCTGAGGCTAGTTCCCACAGGATCACCAGAACTGGACCAAGAGTCCGGATCTGGTGTCACCGACGTGAAAGCCTAGATCCATCCCACCCATCGATCCCACGTCAGGCTACTGCTGGTGGGTGGTCTTTAGAGCTCTTGGTTTAACTCAATCCACACAAAAACAAGTTTTCAGTAAATCTTTTAATTTTCCTGCAGATTTAAAAGCAAATCAAAGTTTGAATCATTGAATAACAGCCCTCAACCCCTAAAATCCATCAGGGCTTCCTGTGGAGGCAGATGGAGGTTTAGTAAGGTCAGCATCGCCCCCTAGTGGTCACAAAAACCAGACCACCTAAAAAGGACCAACCAGAGAAGAGCTGCAGAAGCTCAGCATCCACCGGCAGGTGTTCAGGTCAGACACAGAAACGAGTCAGAGTTGAGCTTCTGTTCACCTTTAAACCAACAATCCTCCAGAGTCCGTTAGCTCACGGCTCCAGACGTGCACAGCTGGAGGAAACGGGACCTTTAAATAACACAAAGCTTCACTTTCATCAAACTTGTTTCAAAAAAATCCCAAACGACCTCAGCAGGGCTGCTGCTGCTGCTCTGAAGCTCCACGATCACAGGAAGTCCTTTATTAGACATGGGAAACAACAAAAACAAATCAGTGCTACAGATCCTCTGAGGTTACAGTCGGTTCTACAGGCTGATGTTAGTCCGTGACTCGTGATTGGCTGAGGAGTTTAACGGGACGGCGCCGAGTTCCCAGAGTCTGAAATAAAAAACAAAGATCTGAAGAGGAGAAAGTGTCTCCATCACTCAGAACCGGGTCATCACAAACACCAGAATAAAAAAAACTACCTGAATATAAAAACCCAAGCACTGGAGCATTTAGCCGAGTTCCACCTGGAGAACCCGCGATTAGCCGTGGAACCGTGGAGGTCGACACCAGAGTGGCATCATAAACAAAAACAATCCTGCATCCGCAGGTTTCTCTCAGAAAAACAACAACAGAGCCGCTGAGCGTCGTGTGGAGACGCTCAGGCTAAGCTAAAGGAAAACAGCTGGAGGTTGTGTTCAACAGTTCTAAGCAGGAATCGAACCAGCAACCGCTGAGCTTGGCACTGGTGAAAGTTTCTCAGCAGGTGGAGCTCACGGTCCTCCTGCGATGAAGGGCCTCCGCCGTTGCGCCGCGGCGTCACTCGTCTGAGCCGGCGGAACGTTTCTGGTTCCTTTTGCGAGGAGATCTCCTAGGAGACGCTTTATCTGGAGAACGAGAGGAGAACGTCCGTTAGCGTCACGTGATGCAGACGGCTTCAGTCACGGCTCCTGAACCAGCCAGGCCACCACATTATGGGATGTTTGCAGACAACATTCAATTCAATTCAAGTTTATTTATAAAGCGCCAAATCACGACAAGAGTCGTCTCAAGGCACTTCCAGTTCAGGTCAGTTCATTAAGCCAATCAGAAATAATGTTTCCTATATAAGGAACCCAGCAGGTTGCATCGAGTCACTGACTAGTGTCAGTGACTATATAGCAATCCTCATACTAAGCAAGCATATAGCGACAGTGGAGAGGAAAACTCCCTTTTAACAGGAAGAAACCTCCAGAGGATCCCACATCTGTCTGGTCCAGATGTTCTGACACTAAAGCTGCTAATTCTGTTTTCATCAGATTATAGAGACGAAATCTGGATTCATTCACTCACTCACTCTCACACACACACACACACACACACACACACACTCATACATTCATTCACTCACTCTCACACACACACTCATACATTCATTCACTCACTCTCTCACACACACACACACACACACTCATACATTCATTCACTCACTCTCACACACACACACACTCATACATTCATTCACTCACTCTCACACACACACACACACACTCATACATTCATTCACTCACTCTCACACACACACACACACACTCATACATTCATTCACTCACTCTCACACACACACACACACACACACTCATACATTCATTCACTCACTCTCACACACACACACACACTCATACATTCATTCACTCACTCACTCACTCTCACACACACACATACATTCATTCACTCACTCACTCTCACACACACACATACATTCATTCACTCACTCACTCTCACACACACACACTCATACATTCATTCACTCACTCACTCACTCTCACACACACACACTCATACATTCATTCACTCACTCTCACACACACACACACACGCCTCACCTCTGCGACTCTGCACTGAAGAAGCAGGAAAGCGGGACAGGAAGAGAAACAGAGATCAGTAGAGGTTAAAGGTCGTTCTGACACAAGTGAGCAGGAAGAAGAAACAAACATCACACTCAGGAGAACGTTTGAGGGTTTGATTGGATTTAAAGCGGGAATCAGGTTTGAAATTCCCGAATCCTCGACAGAAAGAAGGAAAATCAGGAATCTGGACCATTTAGGTGAGGAAGAACAGCTGGAGCTCAGGAAGGACCTCAGGGTGAGTACGTACTGATCTGGTTGAGCGTTTCCTGAGGGATCCAGCTCATGTCCACATCGTTGTGGCTCGACGTTCCCATTTCCACCTTAGGAGCCGGACGCCTCCTCTGTAAACAAACAACTTCCTGTTAAACACTCGTGGGAAAAACAGAACCTGGAAGTTAAATCCAGCTCTTCTCCGTGGGTTCCGTCAACGCGAGCTCGGCCAGAACCAGACAGGAAGTGAGCTAGCATTAGCCTCACTTAAAGCCAACATCCAGGTGAAAACACCTGAGCAGGAGAGATGTGGAGGACCTGGGAACTGTAGCTGCTGGAAGCTTCCTGATCAGCTACAGCCTTCATCATCATCATCATCATCCTCCGTGAGGTAAGCAGGACAGCATCTGATCGATCTACAGATCCACAAACCGCAATGCTGCGTCTTCAGCAGGACGAGCGCGTAACCATCACATCACATCGCCTGTAAGGTTGTTGGGAGCTAAAGGTCAACAGTTTGGAGCGATGACATCATCAGAATGTCAAACACTTCCTGTTTTATCTCAGATTAATGAAGTCTGTTGGATTGTAAAGCTGAACGATTCATTCAGACATTGTTGTTTAATCTGAGGAGAGAAACATTAAAAACGAGCTAAACGAGAGATAATCTGGATTAAACTGGTCAGAAACAAAATGACGTGTCCCACCTTCCTAGACTCCAGCAGCTGATGAAGACCGACGACGACGAGCAGCCCGAGGCCCAGGAGGAAGACGTACATGAAGATGCTGAGGAGGAGGAGGAGAACTAAAGTGGAGATCAAATCTGGAGTTCTGTGATTTGAATAATTCTGTAAAACTGGAGTTCTGAGGACAACATGGAGGCGTGGACGCTCACGTTTCTCCATCCAGGCCGTCCTCCCGCTCCGTGATGGTGACGGTCTGGTTGAACGCGGCGTCCTGGAAGACGTTTCCCTGCAGGAGACGAGTAAAAAGAAAAATCTGAGGTTTTCCCTCCAGAACCGGATTTGGGTTCAATGATTCCAACACCAGACAAGCTCTGCCCTCACGCTGCCATCTTTGTAGTTCAGGTTGATGACGAGTCCAAACGGCCGCCCCCCCATCGGTTCTGCGGGGATGAACGAGTACTCGAAGGTGGCCTGTCTGCCGGGAGGAACCACGGTGCCGAGCTGCAGAGCCGTGAAGTTCTGGATGTAGAACTGATAATCCTGAGGGGACGAACAGAACCGGGTCACACCGGGTCAGAGCTTGTTCTCTACCAGACACGGTTTGGGTTTGATTGAACCTGCGGGTAACGGAACGACGCATCCAGAGACTCCACCACGAAGTTCTCGGAGCCTTTGTTGGTGAAGCCGAGCAGGAACTTCACGATGTTGTTGGCGGGAAAATCTGCAGGGACACAGAAAGGTGAGTTTGAGGTCCAGAAGTCGGTTCTGACTCAGAAACAAGAAGAAAGGCGCCAGCAACCTTCTCCTTTAACGAACAAGATGGTGGTGTCGGCGTTGGGCGAAGCCTTCACCTCTCCGACCAACGCCTCCTCCTCCTCGTCTTTCTCCTCCGTCTAAACAAATAAAACCATTCTTATTCTGACCAACCAGCTGCTGGTGATCACCACCCGTAACCGCCATGACATCACTCACCAGCTCCGTGTTGTCATCATCCTCCACTTCAGCTTCATCGTCCTCGTCCTCAGCCGTTACATCCTCCACCACATCTTCATCCACAGCCTCGGCCTCCTCATCCTCAGTCAGATCCTGGGCGCCCGCCACCGGAGCTGAAGGCGAGCGTAACAGGCGACATCACAAACTCCAGCTGCATCAGTCGAGTCCGAGCGTCCCAGACTGACGCTCAACAGTTCTGTTGTTGTTCTACGTTTTTCAGAGAAAAACCTGCAGATGCAGGATTGTTATCGTTCGCCAGGTCACGCCGGTGTCGACCGCGTTTGTTCTGACAGAAACACGACGCGTCCGGTTTTAGAGACTGGCTTTGGTACCAAAACACACCAGAGAAGAAACAAAAACCTCAGGAGAAGGAAGCGGGTCTGATGAGGACAGGTGGCCATGTATCTGAAAGGGTTTAATTACTAAATAAGATGATGTGTCACTGAGACCAAACTGAGACAACAGCCGGAAACACACGAGATGTTCATCTGGGAACCAAATCACCTCAGACTAGTGAACAAACAACCGTTTTCCCCAAAAATGTAAAAATAAGAGTCCAGGCCTGACTGCAGGCAACCAAAATAAAACGCTGCTAACATTATTTCCGTTAATAATGTTCATGTTTATGTTTATTTATTTAGCAGACGCTTTTATCCAAAGGGACTTACAATTTATAACCTATAGGGCATGTTGTGATCTGTGGGGGAAACCGGAGTTTGTTTATTGTCTTCTTGCTATACCAAGTTGAATTGTATCTACAAAATGCAAGTTGGCATGAACACGAACTTCGGAGCTACTCTGTAATGCCATTCTGCTAACGAATTTTGAAATGTAGTCGCTTTTGTTCGTTTTTCAAATGTTCAATAAAAGTTCATTAAAAAAAAGGAATCAACATCATTTCAAACTGAATGTTATCGTCATCCTGCTCCACCCTTCTAACAGGAGCGTGTTTAGCTACCTAAGATCAACAAGGCAGGCGGACAGTTTCATGTTCAAACAGAGCGAAAGGGTCACTTTACCTTCATGTAATGATTTTAACCGTTTTACCCCTAAGAGAGGTCCTGAGCTTAGCTTCCAGGCTAACAGCTAGCATAGCTGTAAGGACACGTCAGTCTAATTTAGAACAGATTTCTGTACAAATTAATACGAAAACATGCTAAACTATAAAACATAACAGTTAATTAGGACAATAATATGTTTGTGTCAAAACACAAATGTGTATATTTACCAAAGGCGTTTTGCGTAAATGTGTGTTTAAGCTGTCACATGTTAAACTGAGCTCGGCCTTCACAGCTTGTTAGCATAGCCGCTAACTCCAAACAATAAGCTACACTAGCGTTTAAATGTAATAGGTAGTCATTTTAGAAAGTTACCTTTGATGAGAAGGGTGGCAGGGAAGGCTAAGAGGACTAGCAGCAGCAGTTTAGGCAGAAAATTCATCATTTTCAAGTCGAAATCAGTGTTTTCTCATTCAGTGTCGGTCAGACAGCCTAGCTGTTAGGGTTAGCCCCCAGTAGCACTTCCGTTATAACTTCTTCTTCTGCTTCCTTAAGTCAATAGCTTAGGCACGCCAGCGGCGTGCTGCTGCCGCCTGCCGTTCATGTTTATGCTTGGTAGCGCAGCAGCAACGCAGTGTTGCAGGGATGGTTCACACCCAGCACGAGTTAAAACGCTGCAATTCTTAAAACAAGGTATTTTATTACAGTGTAATATAAGTAGTACGTACATAATGTAGAATAAGAAACGCTAAACTCCAATACTAAAGTAAAATAATCTAAAATCAAATCATGAAAAAACCCGGATGTAAAACCCTGACTTAGTCAAACCGAACGTCTCAGGGATTTTTTCTATTACTTTATTATATATTATAACTGTGGTCGTGAATACTTTTTTATTTGGTTTTAATACGTGATCCCAGATGTTATTTGTTTAATAATCAGTGATGTTTATTCAAGACTTTACTGATGTGTTTTTGTTGATGTTTGTGTTTTATGAAGAAGCTGAAAGCCATTTATTTGGTGATAACATGACTTTTTACCATGACGGCTGGACGAGAGCCACTCTGAACACCAAAACAGCAGCCAAAGATTAAAAAGACACAAGATAATTCACCTTGATGCAAACGCATCTTATTTTTAAACTTACAGGATTAAAAGTGTCTGATGAAGAAACTTCAGCAAACGGCTGATAACAAACGTATTCACTAAGAAAAACTTCTTTGTTGTGGTTTATTTGTTTTTAATCACATGGAAAACACTGAAGTTCTGACAAAACAACATAATCTGAGTGATACATTAAATCAAATGTAAATAAAATGTTTATTTGTGTCAAAATACAAACTAAATAAGATAAAAGTCAAAAATCAACACATCAAATAAACACATGAATAATCAGTTCAACTTTTTCTGTTGCATCTATTTTCAGTGAGCCAAAAATAAAATAAAATAAAATACTGTAACATTTCCTGCTAGAATGAGAAATAGTGATGATTTATTCTGATGCAACAAACACAGCAAAAACACGACTTACTGGAAACACACAAGAGTTAAATACGTCTTTCCAAGGCGTAGACGGAGCCCGCGTATCAAAATACTCTGCAGGTACAGGTGGATGTGCTCACACACACTTCAGTCCGTTTGTTACTGAGACGTTTAAAAATCAGACACAGTGAGTTAGTGAAGCGGCTGGTTCAGACTCAACCTGGGATCGGTCTATTTACTGGAAATCTAAACTCACCTGAACATAAAACGCTCCCTCTCCCTCCTCCACGCCCATCTCCTCCTTCGGTCACATGACTTAATGACTTCTCAACCCAAACACACAAGAGTTTTAGATTTGTTGTGATTAACTCGTCCAAATGAAGAAGCAAACTCTTCAGGTAAAAGTCTGGTGATATTCTGACCTCTGACCTCCGGGACTGCATATGCAGACTCACACGGATTATTTCCTGAAACATAAACCTCAGCCTGAAAGCTAAATATTTCATAATTATTACACAGGTACATGTTGGTACTAATGTTCTCCAGGATGCATCAGAATATATTATTCATGGCTGATTTTATTCCTGATTAAAGCTGCAGAGAAAAACGACAAAAGCATCAAATTTGATGTAATAAAAAGTCCAGATTTGATCTTTTCTCTGCAGTTTGAGTTTTACGGTGCACACGAAAGCCTGACTTTAGCCCAAGTTTAGTTTTACTGTAACTGTTCCCCTGTTTGACCTCTAGGAGGCGCTGATGACTCAGATAAAACCTGCTGAGCCGCCGCATGAATCCAGTTTAGTCTACAAGAGAAAACTCCAGCATCTGATTCTAGGTGAAGTTCCTGTCAGGATCCTTCCCGAGTTAGAAGCAGGCGTGTTAGTTTTCATCACCTGTACCTGCCAACAACCAGGATGATGAACGAGTAAGGAACATCACAGGACTTCTATGATAACGACATCCCTAAAGCTCCTTTTATACGCTTCGTTTTGCTTCCGTCTGGCTTCTCTTTTCTGGAATCGGATTCTTTTTCATGTTTTAAAGAAAACCTGCGATAATCTCCTAATCTCAGCCGTCTGGGGAGTTCTTTTCATTTCAGCTAAACCAGGTTTAGATCTGTGAGACGGTTTGTTGACAGATAAAACCTGAGAACTTCATATAAACTGGACTTATTAACCAACCCTGAAATGTAAAGAACACCCCCTCCTCCACCTGTGGTGGGAACACTGACGGGACGTCTCTCCTCTTCAGTTGCAGACCTCCACGTAGTTCGCTGGCAGCATCCCGGACTTCCCAGTTCTCTGGACCGTGCCGTACATCCAGCCTTCATCAATGGGCTGGGCGTTGATGATGACATCACCGTCTCTGAAGGAGACCTCATCGTGGTCCTGAGCGGCGTAGTCGTACAGCGCTCGGTAGACCCGCTGCAGGGACATGAAGAGACCGGGTCAGAAATCCCAACAATAATCCTACAGTGGGAGATAAAGAAAACCCGGATGTGGGCGGTCCGGTACCACGGAGGCCGAGTGAGGCGGGGAGGTGACGGATCGGACCGACGACATGCTGGTCTGATGCATGTAGCCGTGATACGGCGGATGCTGCTGCATCTGGACGCCCTGATGATGATGATGATGGTACGCTCCGGGGAGGACGGGAGCTGGAGACAAACACAAACAGGAAGTCAGTCTGGGAAGTGCTTCCTGTTTGATTCCGACCCTCTGTGAGTGAAACCAGGTGAGATAAGTTTGTGAGCACACCTGCAGACAGAATATGTGGATTAGTCCGATTACTCGTGTTTAAATCTGTGATTCACTCTGAAACAAGAGAGGAGCTACCGGGGGTGTCGGTGCTGCTGCGGTCCCAAAGGTCAGAGGTCAGAGAGCTGACCGACTGCTGCGAGTGCTGCCTGCTCAGCCTGCGACCTGCACGCTCTGACAGGCGGCCGCCAGCAGGGGGCAGCACCGGGGAGAGAGAGAGAGCTTGTTCATCCATTTGAGATTAGGAAACACCTTCAGGAGTTTAACCGTGAGAATAAAACCGTCTAACACTGTTACCAAGTCTTAACCCTGCATAAGAGCAGTTCATTAACATGAACATAAACT